AGTCCTCACCATCTTCATCTCCCATATCCCCTGCAGAGTCAGAAGCCTCATCATCCATAACTTCATCTTCTGGTCCATCTTGACTTCTTGAGCTGTTTGGTTGTGAAGTGGAGGTTTGTGCTGCCTTCCTTGCATTTGGTTGAGTTGCACTCAAACCTGAACTTCTTGAAGTCCATTTTATCCCCTCACTAACTGCATTTTCAGTCTCCCCCCCTTCATTATCCCCACCACCTTCAAGTAGTAGCACCAATTCTGGTGAGCTGAGTCCATGTCTTATATAGCAGTCAATGATCTTATACTGCATAGCTACTTTATACATTTCCCTGACTTCATCATCAAGCTTAACCCTTCTCAAACCTTTCTCTAAACTTTGACCAGGAATCAAGTAGTAAATATCATCAATGCTGCTATATTTCCCACATTTTCCAGCCAACTCTTCTAACCAAAACCAACACAACTCATCAGCATCGATGTCAAAGCATTTATATTCACCATTTACATACTCCAAATGTTTCTGATTGTTGTGCTTAAAGATACCTCCATGCCACATCTTAATTGTAATCACAGTTGAAGTTGCCATGTCAAGTATCACCTACAAATAAATGGAAATCTGTTAATGAACTAGTCTACACAAGCATCATGTTAATTCCAGGTTGATTTCAGTATACACATGATACATGTGTTCAAGTCAGGTCTTTCAGTTTCATTTCAGTTTACACAGGATAGCATGTTACTTCATTGCAGTTGAGTATATTGCACAGGATACATGTGTTTAGGTCAGGTATTTCACTTTCATTTCAATAAACTAAAATTGTGTTCCCATTTGGTGTTATGTCCTATTATTTCAGTTTCATTTCAGTGTAGGGTTCCTATTTATAGGTCATACTACCAGATTTCATAATCATAATAACCAGGTTCCTGTTTATAAATCCTATTTATAAACTACCAGCTTTCATAACCCTCATATCTTTTAGATGCCTGATATCTTTTCATAAACTAAAATTGTGTTGCTATTGTTCCTACTATACATGTGTTACCTACTAGGTTCCTATTGTTTCCGTTTCATTTGAATAAACTCAAATTGTGTTCCATCTGGTAGTATGACCTATAATTAAATGGTAATTTGTTAATGAACTAGTCTACACAAAACAACCATTACATGAACACAGCCATAACCCTAAATTCTGGAATGACAAATAGGTTACAAGTTCATTTCAGTCCAACTTCATTTGAATGCAATAATATGAGGTATAACAAGTATAAGTTTTCTCATAAGTTCTTACCTTCCACCGTGACAGCAAGAACAAAGCTCCAGTTTGCCCGGTTCTTCTATTGTCTAAGCTTCTTCGGATGGGGTTTCTATGGCTGGGAACGTTATGAGGTAGGTGAGAAGTAAAGAGGCTGAAGCATGAGAAAGGTGATGTTTAAAGTTTAATTTACCGGTTTTGCCGGTAATGAGTGCGCGGGATTGTTTTAGGAAAAGGGGGTCAAAAGTTGGGAGTACAGGGAAATAATCAAAACTAGGGATTATTAAAAGCGGACCGAGTATAGTTGGGATTATTATTACCTATTTTTCCTTCTTTCTTACATTAGTTTCTTTTTTCCGCCGTCAGCGCCATGCGCATGTTCATTGCTTAACACTTTCTCTTTTCTCTTCGTTTCCTTTCTTTCTTCATGCTTTGACTTTCTATTTTGCTTCTTTCTTTTTATTTATTTTTCTTGTTGCTTTTCGTTTCTTTAATTTTCTTTAACATCTTTTACTTTATTTTTTTATTCAATATATTATGATTATATAAAATATTATTTATTGTTTGATTTTTTTTTCAATCAACCTTCCATTTTATAAAATACTCTTTTTAATGTTTTGCATTATAAAATACTTTAGGTGTTAATGTTTTTTTGTTTTTTTTTTAATTTTAAAATGAATATTTATTAGTTTTATTAAATATTGTGTGTTAACTACTAACATGAGTTTAGTGTTAAACTAAAATGAGTATAACTCAAAATAAATGTACATACACAATTATTAAATAACGAATCTACTAGATGTACATATTATAGAAATGAGTTTATGTTATATTCGAATGAGTATATATAACGACTAAAAAATGAGCATACACAATTCAATATTTGAACACATTGGAGAATTCAAATGAGCTTTTACTTTTTCGATGCTCATGTTGTAAGTTTTGTATGATCATCGGGTATTGGTCGTATGCTCATTTTAAAATGTTAAATTAATACACATTTTCAAAAGTATCATATTACATTAGATTCACATGGGAATTGATTGTAGATACGGGATCACAAACCATGATACTCAATTGAATTTTTCTAATTACTCAATCGATATTGATGTTATGCTGATTTTTAAAATGTCATATCAATTTATATTTCAAAAGTATCATATGACATTAGATTCACATATTGAACTTCATAGGAATTGATTGTAGATACAATTTAATAAGTTTCAATAGAAGAAAAAATATAAAAAGAAAGTGAATTAAAAGATATGAAGCAGAGATTACGATGTTCAATAATAGAAAACACAATACTTTTCTTTTGTCTTTTTTTCTTTTCTTCTTTTCCATGTTGTTGCTCTCTTCTTTCTTTTTTCTTTATATATTAAATACCGGGCACATTAGAAATGAGTTTTATTGATTTTCAATAAGTTTGAAAATGAGTACCTAAAACGCCTAAATAGAATGAACATACACAAATGAGTTTTTGAATTTTGAAAACTCATTTTGTGCGTTATATATGCTCGATCATTCCGTAATGTTGTTATGCTCATTTTAAATTGTTATGTCAATGCATATTTCAAAAGTACCATATTACATTAGACTCATATAGGATTTGATTATAAACACACGGACACAAATCATGATACTCAATCGCATGATTCTAGAACTCTATATTGGATGTTTGATGCTCACTAAAATGCATTGATGCTCAACTAACAAAATTTATAATTTTCATATTAATACTCATTTCGTAAGTTACCTATGTTCATTTGGTATTGATGTTATGCTCATTTTAAAATGTCATATAATGCATATTTCAAAAGTACCGTAAATTCACATATTGAAATTCATAATAGTTGATTATAGATATAATTTTATAAAAGAAAAAATAAAAAAAGTGAATTAAAAGTTACGAAGCAGATATCACGATGTTCAACATTAGACTCATACTACTCAACAAAATAGGTTTTATGCTCATTAAAAGTTAATGCATGCTCATTTAACAGAAACTGTGATTTTCATCTCAAGAGAGGAGGTTTGATGCTCAATGAAAGTGTCGTGATACTCAACTAACAAACCTAGCAATTTTCATATCAATGTGCATTTGGTAAGTTTAATTTGCTCATATGATACTTTTGAAATATGCATTGATATGACATTTTAAAAATGAGCATAGCATCGGTACCAAATGATCATACATAATTTACAAAGTGCACATTGATATGGAAATCGCAAGATTTGTTAGTTGAATATCAAGACATTTTAATTGAGCATCAAATCTACGCTATTGAGATGAAAATCACAGTTTCTGGTGAATGAGCATTAATGAACTTTTAATGAGCATCAGACCTATTATATTGGGCATTAGAAGTCTAATATTCAGAATCGTGATCTCTACTTAACTTCTAATTCACTTTCTTTTTGTTATTTTTCCTTTTATAAAAACTTATTAAATTATATTTCTAATCAACTCTTATGAATTTCAATATGTGAATCTAATGTAAAATAGTATTTTAAAGCAAATGCATTGATATGACATTTAGAAAATGAGCATAAGATCAGTACGAGATGAGCATACGTAACTTACAAAATGTTTGTTGATATGAAAATTGCAAAGTTTGTTAGTTTGACATAACAACATATTCATTGAGCATCAAATCTCATCTATTGAGATGAAAATCACAGTTTCTGTTAAATGAGCATTAATGAACTTTTAATGTGAATCAGATCTATTATGAGCATTAAAACACTTTCGATGAGCATCAGACTTATTAGGAACCCAACAATATATAACAGAATTATTAATATATTTACATAAATTAACAGCATGATTCCTAGATCAAATAAATACTTCAAAAACATGAATTAGTCTTTTAATATAGTACGGAGTAATAATGAGCAAAAGCAAAGAATGGTTAATATTATAATTACTATTAACAAACAACTGTAGTACGGAGTATGAAAACATGTAGGATAAGGAAGATAAAAGAACAAATCATAACAACAAGACAAGCTGGTGAGATGGTTGGAAGGTAGTGTATTACTCCCTCCGTCCCATTTATTTTGTCTCGTTTTACCTTTTCGGGAAGTCCCACTTATATTGTCCCATACCATATTTGGCAAAATTTGTGTGACTCTAAATCATTCTTACTTTATTCTTACTTTATCAATTAATATCAATCACACAAACCCACTTTTCTTAATAACCGTGCCACCCTCTTCCGGGACAATATAAATGGGACGGAGGGAGTATATCTTAGGTCTAGGGATCAAAGCTCCATGGTGTTTTAAGTTATTTAATTTTTGAGCTTTTGAAGTATGGGCCTACTGTTTTCAGTCCCATACCAAACTTAAACAGACCAGACCAGACTTCCGTATTTATAAAATACACAGGAACCAGACATTTACCAGACCAGACTTAAACAGACCAAACCGGACCAGACCAGACCAGACTAAATCAGACAAATTTCAGTCCAAAAGAAAACATTCTAACTCAATTAAATTTGAACTGTGTGTACATACATCCGGTGGTATGACTCAACAAACGGGTGATAGACTTCTCTTTTCGGATGGATTCTTAACTTAAATCACAATGCAACCGCAACCCAGCTGTGCCATCCGATTCTTAGCTGTCACTCTCCATTATCATATTACGGAGTACATGATTAATAATACGGGGTACATTATTATACGAATTTCCTTTAATTTATTTCTTTCTTGGATAAAAATATATTCCATCTTCAAATCTTCAATTCTCCGCATCCGCACGTTTTCGATTTTCCGCGTTAAATTAATCCATCCCCCATCCATCTTTTCCTTCTTCAACGCAGAGACAGCTACTACTTCTACTAGCACTCATCATCCATGCACTCCACCAAACCCTATCCCTCAGATTTGATTTTTTTCACATTTCGATCCGATCGAAGGAATTCTAATATTCAATTCTCTAGATTTAATTGATGCATTGTCTAGAGTCGACGGCGGCGGGCGATTCTGATTCGCCAATTATGAGTCGCTGCGGCCGAGTTGAGTGGAACGGGGAGAAGGGAGAACCGACAGATACCGCCAGAGGATTTCCGCCGCCGTTGCCATGGCTTGCCCGGACTGAAAACACGTCGTCGTCTAGAATGCCGTGGGTCCTGAAACGGCATTACACGGAAGACGGGAGACTCGTCATCACCGGCGAGAAATCCGACCGCCACGAGTACTTGGAGGCCTACCGCTCCGGAAATCGCCTCCGTCTACGCCTCGTGCCGCTCAGTGTCCCCCTCGTTGGCGACGAATCGCCGCATGAATGCGCGGAGGAGGAGCAGGGGGGATCGCGCGGTGGCGATGGATGTGATCGGGCGGCGGATGCGGCGGTACAGGATCGATCTGGAATGATGAATGGTGCCGGAAACCTAATGACCGACGCATCCTGCGGCGGCGGCGGCGGGGGAAATAAGAAGTGTTCGAATTCGTTGATTATTGGCGTGGGGGTGACAGCTATTGCTCCCATAGTTCACATATGACGACTAAATTACGTAATTAATCATTTTTTTGTTTTATACTCCGTATTTGTCATTCTTTAGAAAGAAGGAGAAGATATACACGATTACCTTGGCTGAATTTTATAAATTGTTGAATCTTTCATTGACTAAATTATTGGGTTTGATGTTATTTTTTGGGAAAACTATCAAATAAGCCTCCGTACTATATCGAAAAAGTCGATTAGGCCCTCGTATTTTACAAACACTCAATCAAGTCCTTGGACTATTAAAAAACGTTCAATTAAGCCCTTTTGGTCGGTAAGTAACCGGTTTCCCGGTTAAATGTAACCCGTTTCTCGGCAGCCAACGTTGCTGGGGTTCGAGCACATCGTCGCCATCGTAACCCGTTTAAAGGAAACGAGTTACTTACCGACCAAAAGGGCTTAATTGAACGTTTTTTAATAGTTCGAGGACTTAATTAAGTGTTTGTAAAGTACGAGAGTCTAATCGACTTTTTCAGCATAGTACGGGGCTTATTTGATACTTTTCCGTATTTTTTTCAATTCGCAAGAAGCCATTTCTGATCTTCTGCTTCTTCTGGCTCTTACCGTTAGCGCATATCGAGGAATCCGTGCACGAAATGAATCCAGACGACGGCGTTTATCTTATCCTCTCCTCCTTCCATGAAAAATACAATTTGTTTAACCATATATTCCGTAATAATTACATCTTCAATTGCCGATTAAATTAAATTATCACTACTTACTTCGATAGTTCGACCTCCGGTCGGACCGGTCCTCCACAAGACCGATTTTTTAATGTAACTCCGTATGTTTTTGACCAACTCACCATGAGGTGTGGAGATAAATTTTAGCGCAGAAAATGCGCAAATTACATGGTACAGCCGGCTGTACCATGAGCATGGTACAGCCGGCATTTTGGTAATTAATTCCAGTTTGAAGGGTATTTGTTAAGTTGGTCTTTACTATTGCCTTTAATTTTTTCCGCCGCGCCGTCGCATGACTCTCCCCGTCTGTTGCCTTCAATTTCAGCTTTTCTCTTTTGTTGTTTTTTCTTTCTCTGTTTCCTTGCTTTTCTGCTCGTTACTTATCTCTTTCTTTTGTCTTTTCTTTTCTTTTGTCTTTTCGTTTCTTCTAATCTTGCTTTTATTTGTTTCCTTCATTCTTTCTTCGGTAACAATTCTTTACTTTAGTGTTTGTTCAATTATACTACGTAATATATTTTTTTATTTTGGTGTTTTTTTGTATTATTCTGAGATGAATATTTATTAGTATATATTGTGTGTTGTTACTGATACTCCGTATGAGTTTTGTGCTATATTAAAATGTGTATAGTGTAAAATAAATGTGAACGAGTAAATATTATAAAAACAAAACGATTATATTTGTAATTCAAGAACAAAAGACTATAAATCATTTTTAGCGAAACATTTTTATATTTCACATTGTTATATATAATAATAGTTTATTAAATTGTTAATAATGAATCTACTAGATGTACAAATTATAGAAAGAAGTTTATGTTATCTTCGAATGAGTATAACGATTAAAAGAAATAGACATACACAAATGAATATTTGAACACATTAGAGATTTCAATTGAACTTTTGAATTTTTTCGATGCTCATTTTGTAAGTTATGAATGCTCATCTGGTATTGGTTAAATGCTCATTTGTAAGTTACGTATGCTCATCATCTGGTATTGGTTAAATGCTCATTTTAAAATGTCATATCAATGCATATTTCAAGTCATATTAGAGATCATGATACTCAATTAAAACGTTTTGATGCTCGCTCAACTAAAAAAACTTATGATTATCATACTAATGCTCATTTTATAATTTATGAATGCTCAATCGGTACTCAATTGCACGCTTCTAATACTCAATAGAGGAGGTTTGATTCCCAATGAAAAAAATGTCTTCATGTTCAACTAACAAAGCTTATTATTTTCATATTAATGCTTATTTTGTAAGTTACATATGCTAATTAAAAGTTCATTAATGCTCATTTAACATAAAGCGTTATTTTATCTCAATATAGGAGGTTTGATGCTTAATGAAAATATTGTGACGTCCAACTAACAGACCTCATGATTTTCATATATATGCTCATTTTGTAAGTTACATATGCTCAATTGGTACTCATGTTATGCTCATTTTTAAAATGTCATAACAATGCATATTTCAAAAGTACCATATTATATTCGATTCACATATTGAAATTCATATGAATTGATTATAGTTATAATTTAATGAGTTTTTATAAAAGAAAAAAAAAGGAAAAAGAAAGTGAATTACAATATATGAAATTGATATCACATTACTCATTATTCGACTCTTAATGCTCAATAGAATACATCTGATGCTCATTAACAGGCGATTTGAACTCAATAAAAATGTCTTGATGCTCAATCGGTACACAATTGCACGCTTTTAATACTCAGTAGAGGAGGTTTAATGTTCAATGAAAAATGTCCGTATGCTCAACATATTAATGCTTATTTTGTAAGCTACATATGCTCAATCGATACTGATATTATTCTCATTTTTTATGAAGCACAGATCACGATTTAGAATATTAGACTTCTAATACTCAATATAGTAGGTCTGATGCTCATTAAAAGTTCATTAATGCTCATTCAGCAGAAACCGTGAATTTCATCTCAATAACGAATGTTTGATGCTCAATTAAAATGTTGTGATGTTCAACTAACAAAACAACTAAGAAATTCATTAATACTCATTTTGTATGTTACATATGCTCATTAGGTACTGATGTTATGCTCATTTTGTAAATGTCATATCAATGCATTTTTAAAAGTACTATTCTAAATTACATTCACATAATGGAATTCATAGGAGTTGATTATAAAGATAATGTAATAAGTTTTTATAAAAGAAAAAATAACAAAAAAAAGAAAGTGAATTAGAAGTTATGAAGCAGAGATCATGATTCTGAATATTGGACTCCTAATTCTCAATATAAAAGGTTTGATGCTCATTAAAAGTTCATTATTACTCATTTGTTACTAATGTAATGCTCATTTTTACAATTCATATCAATGCATATTTCAAAAGTATCAATAGTGGAGGTTGAAAAATCAATTAAAATGTCATGATGTTCAACTAACAAATGTTACGATTCCCATATCAATGTACACTTTGTAAGTTATGTATGTTCATTTGGTACTCATGTTATGCTCATTTTTACAATGTCATATCAATGTAATTTTCCTTTTATAAAAACTTATTAAATTATATTTCTAATCAACTCCTATGAATTTCAATATGTGAACCTAATGTAAAATAGTACTTTAAAGAAAATATGTTGATATGACATTTAGAAAATAAGCATAAGATCAGTACCAGATGAGCATGCACATCTTACAAAATGTTCCTAGATATGAAAATCGCAAAGTTTGTTACTTTGAATAACAACATATTCATTGAGCATCAAATATCATATATTGAGATGAAAATCACTGTTTCTGTTAAATGAGCATTATTAAACTTTTAATGTGCATCAGACCTATTATGAGCATTAAAACAATTTTGATGAGCATCACGCTTATTATGAACCTAACACTATATAAAAAAATTATAAATATATTTATATAAATTAATACTATCATTCATAGATCAAATAAATACTTCAAAAATATGAATTACTCTTTTAATGTAGTAATAATGAGAAAGGCAAAAGAATAGTTAATATTATAATTACTATTAATAATACGCAGTATGAAACTATATAGGATAAGTAAGATAAAAGAACTGAATATCACAACAAGACGACTTGGTGAGATGGTTGGAAGATAGCATATGCTACTACTGGTCACAGGATCGAATCCCGTTGGGGTTCTTAATTTTTTTGTGAAGGAATCCAGTTCCTTACTACCAGTCAAATTCATTAATTGGGCGGGATGTACGTACATCCGGGTGTACGATATAGGGACCGGGTGCTAAATTGAATTTAGCACAACTGTTTGAATCTATAACGTTTGCTTTTTCAATTTACTTATTTACTAATGGTCTAATGGATACACACAATAAAATCAAATGAATACATTTATTCTTAGAAAAATAACTTTAAATAATACTAACTATCATCCATCAATCAATAATAATACATACTTTGAAAATGTTTTTTTAATAAAACCAACTATTTGATTGTCAAACAAGAATAATATGAAATCACTTTTAACAAGAAATTCTGTCATTTGAGACATCAAAAAATAACAAACCATCAAATAAATGATATTCGGATATACAGTCACTTATTCGATATTTAGTACTCCTTCCCTACTTAAAAGTTCACTATGTTTGAGCACATTATTTAAGAATGCAATAGTAGGGGTAATAAATAGTGTAAAAAAAGTAGGAAATGAGGTGGAAAAGTATGAAAGGGGAGATAAAAAGTAGGAAAATAAGAAATTGAGTATTTTTAAAAGAAAAACTTACTAAAAGAGAAAGTGTATCAAACTTTAAAATACATCCAAAAATGAAAGTGTAACAAACTTTTAAATGCTGAAGGAGTATTAATTTTTGGTGAATTAAATGACTAAATGTTTGGTGAAAAAAATGTTCTATATTACTTCCGGTCTAAATTTAAATAGTTGGTATCATTAAATTTATTTCCAAATTACGTATTATTCAATTCTTAACTCATGGAAGATAATTTATAGTGAGTATTATTTAAAGTTATTTTCCCTAAAAAATAAAATATGGAGTAACCATGAAAAGCTCACCACGCCTATTGGGAACCATTGCAAACGCGGGGTTTCGAGATCCCAATCCAATTAAGTGATATTAAGAATTCTTTGCAAAAGTTTCAAATTCAAGGAAGGTTCAAAATAGGAGCTCTGGGTTATAAGCACATTTTGTTTCCAGAAGATTATACTCGTTTATTCCTTGAACCAGTTTGGTTTATTAAAGGTTTCCCCATACGCATGATGAAATATACATGTGATTTCATTGTGTATTGTGAATCATCTATAAGACCTATCTGAAATTTTTTACCCAATCCATCACTTGTCTTCTTGGATGAAGCAATCTTGTTTTCACTCGCAAGAGTTTGTTTTGAGATGAATAAATTCAAACCAAGGGTTGAATTTTGTCAAAATAGGAAATTAAAAGTTTCTAGTTACTTAAAAAAAATTATCTATGAGGATGAGGTGAAGCATGGAGGTGCAA